TGTATATATATATATATATACCCGCCTCCGTTTAAACGTTATATCCATGTAGTTAAATAAACAAAATAGTATCAATATATTAGAGCACTCCGCCAGCCCAGTAAGCATCATTGTGGACTACGGGTGGAAGGCCCTGGTTCAGATCCCAGGCTGGGCGTCCTTGAACTAATGTCGTCCTGTGGAGTACTCAAGGCGCTCAACCGAACCTATCAGCGTTATCGGAGATGGACATCGAATTCCGAAGTCCCTCCTCTTAACTAACCTAACAGTGATGATAGAGACGTTCAACCCATAAACCCAGTGCCCATTGGCACGATCAGTTTGGTAGGCGAGAGCTAGCCAGATAAAGGGCGAAAAGCGACCATCGTGGCACAAACCGAACAATGCCGACGGTGACCTTCAAAAACAAACGCTTTTGATTTCAAGGTCGCGATTCGGGCAATCGGTTTATGTTAAAGAACCTATCCCCTAACGGGCGCTGGGTGGGTTAGTACACTTACTTTTTACTATCGATTCATCATGTTTTCCAGTTGACGTCAACGTGGCTGTACGTGATCCCATCATTCGAGATCCACAGAGTCCAATTTTTCAATTAAACCAAAGCGAGTCTGATTAAGAGGAACTGAGGTCAGTAAGAAACGCACGTATTGAGGGTGTTTTCTTTGGTCTCAATATTATAACAGGAGTACAGATGTGGGACTTATCTCGACTCCTTAAGGGCAGGCATTGCGGTTTCTTTATGGGTTTTTTGGGGGCCCTTTTTGGGAAGGGGGGGGGGGTAAAGAAGAAGTAGCCTATTTTGTCCTACAGATGCCTTTCTGTGAAATCCTCACTTCGCTAGTACTTTATTCTTTATTAAATACTTGAGGGGTGATATCTAGTGAACGTCAAAGTGTATTATTGCAAATGTCTGTGGTCAAAAGCGCACACTGGCCATTCCAAATTCAGGGGCCGATCTGATCATGCTGACCGCCAAGTTGAATAAACGTCAATGTTACTTTATATCCGTGGAGCTATTCCTTACACTCTGGGGTTTTCCCCCTTTTGGAATGATGTATAGCTACATCGGGAATGAGGAACCATCTCTTTCTCTCTTTCCGTCTCTTTCTCATTCTCATTTCTCATTCTCTCTCTCTCTCTCTCTCTCTCTCTCTC